GCTCTTCCCAGCAGCCCAGATGTCCTGGAAGGACCAAGAAAGCAATGTGCCACATGAAATAGGCTCATGCCATCAGTGTATTCCCTGCTTCAGGCACATCATAGGATTTCTGTCAGTTTGTGTGCTCGCTTGCCTTCTGACAGAGTAATAGACAGCCAAAGCCACCGCAGCCAGAGTGCAAAAATCTCGTGGAAAAAAATAAATAGCCTTCTGTCCTACCCTGTGATGTTGGCTTTCAAAATCCTCCTCACCCACTGCCTGCTGTCATCATGCATGTTGATGCAGGGGGGGCTTACAAGGCCAGAAACACCGGTGGGGATAGGAACAAAGCATTAGTTGCCTGTTCTTAAATGTTTAAGGCAAATGAATTAATTTGAATAACTGGCTTTTAATATGAGATGGAGGAGAAACTGGATTCACTGCAACTGTAGGTATCTTTGTGATTTTTGAAATGCAGCACAAGCTCTCTGTTTTCTTGATATTTGTTTGTTTTAGGTGGTCTAATAAAAGCGTTAAATTGTCAAAGTAGGAAATTCTCCATAGGCAGACGAGGACCTGCGGAGATGTGAACTCTGCACCCTCTCTCGCCCAGTTGTCGCGGGCAGTTGCGAGAGCCAAGTTTTTGTTAGAATTGCAGCAACATTGAGATGCTTTTCTTAATTTCTTTTTTCAGTATTTCTTTATCGGCATGAAGAAAGAAATTCATGTTAGCTGCAAATACTAGTGTTTTAAAGCACATCAGAAAGGCCTCAGTTGTTCAACTTGCTACGCTGAAGGAGATATTTGGGGGAAAAGAAACAATTCTTTCAAACTATTGAGAATTACCGCATGCAGGTTGCAAGAACAAAGCTATTTATAACATCCTGCTTCCTCCCTGTGTCTCACAGAGTGTGCCAAGTCACCTCCTTTTGTGTCATATGTACCTAACGCTGTGAAAAGTCCTGAATTCACACTCTCGGTATCAAAGCTCTTTACTTTGCCGTGCAACCAAGACAGTGGTTGGGACTGAGGGACTACCGGTTCAGCGTTACACCTGCTCAGTGCCTCCCTCAAAAGTGCCAGTTTTAAGGTAGATTTGGGAGAGCTGAACTCGCAAATTAATTTACCTTTCCCAGCGGGGCATAATATTTGCTCAAAGCAACAAGGGCATATTCAACCAAATAACCCCAAATAAAAGTGAGAGATTCTTTATCGTGTTACCAGTATCTTTATCCCTCTTGGCCAGAGCCAAGGGTAATCTTGAATACCAGCTGAAAGTTTCTGAGGAGGTTGGAACTCCAGATATCCCTAGGAAGGGAGACTACGTGAGGTGGTGAGATGCGGGGGGAAAAAAACCTGGAAGTGATGTTTGTTTTCTTTGGATAAACTTTGCTGGCAGACTGGCTGCTGCTTTCACGCTCCTGGTTGTGGCGTTTGAGGTTGCCTGGTCAGCTGCAGCTGGGAGCTGTCGTCCTCTCTTATGAGATGTCTATGAGCAGAAGTGTTTTTTTCAAATGTCTGTGCGTGCTCTGCTTGTGCCATAGCGCTTCGCAAAGGGTCAGTTAGTGGTAACGTGGCGACTCTTCAAGTCAGCAGCTTTTTAAAATTCACCAAAAGCAAGTCCTTTGGCTCTGTAACCTACTTCAGACCCTGGTCTTGTGCAGGGCAGGACACGCTCAGTGCTACTGCGCTTAAAGGGAACTGCTCTTCTCCTGAACAAATCCATATTTTTCAAGACAGCTGGAATTCGCCTCAGTGTGAAGAGGAAACAATCTATTTTATCCCCCCTGATATTGTCAGTCATCATTTTGAAATGACTACAGCTGTAGCTGCAGTAATTGACTGATGATTAGCAGTTGATTGACTGTAAGCAACCACCGATTCCAGCCTGGACAGTATTTGTTTATGCTAGTAAGCAAAAAGTTATAAAGTTAACTGTTCACTTTGTCTCTTTCTCATGTTTTTAAGCAACAAGAAGCTGAGGACACCCCAAAACTACTTTATAATGAATTTGGCTGTGAGCGACTTCCTGATGTCGGCTTCTCAGGCACCCATGTGCTTTGTCAACAGCTTGCACGGAGAGTGGATACTTGGAGATATAGGTACTCCTCACCCCTCGGTCGTACCTCACCAGCTCGACACTGTCTGCAGCCTATTTTAGCCGCAACAATCATGGCTTACGCCATGGAGACAGCAGCCTCTTGAGTGACAACCCCAGTTCTTGACATCATCCGTCAGCATGATGGCACATGTTTTGTGGTATAGCTTTGATTCTTTCACCTTACGTATTTTGGAAAGAAAGGAGTTGACATCGACATGTAATCATTACTCTTTAGCTCGGAAGGGCAGACGCTATGACTGAAGATGGGTAGAAAAGTTTTATTAAGTCATAAGTATTTTTTTCTGTATCAGTTTAAGAAGGAGTTAATATTTTTATTTAGAAATGCATGTTGATATGCATTAGCATGCTTCTAGGAATCTCACATTTAATTAAGAGATTGAAATAACAATAGTCAGTTGAGTACTCCCTGCAAATTTAAGATCCTTTCTTTCCAACTGCAAGAAAGAAAAGGTGATGCATGCTCAAATTATAGCTGAAATGTGAGTATAGGAAGTTCCTCAGAAGGTCTGATGCTGTGCTTGGTACTACTAATCACATCATTGGGTGAAAATTTGCACCAAGTAGTAGTTGTGTATGGGTGGAGCAAGCCCAGAGACCGTGTACTATTTAGGAGCACAGAAGGGGCTCTTCTTCAGTTTGAGGATGTTTTTCAGTCTTGCTCATCCCCTTAGATAAAATCAGTGTAAATTATCATGCTGCCACAAATGAAGCAATTGATTTGGGTTGAGTGGGATTTGGTCCTTACTTGCAGGTTACTCATAAAGACTTTAGAAGAAGTCTGCTTTAAGGTTGAATCTGGCATTTCGAGTGCCTCCCATTGCCGGTGGGCTGTTGTCCATCACCACACCGGGTGACGCAAGATCTCAAAAAATGAACGACCATTTGACACAGGTTTCTGCATCAAATTAGGGACAGTGTAACTACAAGTTTTCATCTGCTAGCGCAATGCCTGACTGCAAAGAGGGGAAAACAAACCTGTTTCATATCAAAACTGCCACTTTTTTTAAAAAGTGCTGCTATTAAATATAGGAGCTGGAGCTACGTTTTACAGCTGGTCTCTTAGCCATCGAATTTAAACCACTTTTACATTTTTAAGCCACATAAACCAAAGTCATTTTTTGAAACACCCATCTGTCATTAGCAGACAGATGTCTGCTGCAGCCTGTTATGATCAATATATTGGGCAGCAGTCCAGGAAAATGTAATTTTAATTAGACTGGATTTTCTTTGAGGCAGTTTTCCATTGACAAAATGTTCCCAGTTGCAACCCACAGTGGAGAGTAGGACTTCTTCAATACGTACATTTGTATTTTACTAATATTTGTGGGTTTTCTAATAAATGTTTAATAACTATAAAATTGTGAGGCTAAGAAAATTATTCTAATGGGAGAGAAGTCCTGAGCCAGGAAAAAAAAAGGGAGGTTTATCATGTCAGGCTGTGAGAGAAAACACGCGTCTGTTTGAAGAAAAATCCCTGACATTGCCATTTTCTGCTTCAGGCTGTGACTTGTACGCTTTCTGTGGGGCACTCTTCGGCATAACCTCAATGATGACCTTGCTAGCTATTTCTGTTGACCGCTACCTTGTGATCACTAAGCCCCTGCGATCCATACAGTGGACTTCAAAGAAACGGACCGTGCAGATCATCGCCGTCATCTGGCTCTACTCGCTGGGATGGAGCGTGGCTCCGCTCTTCGGGTGGAGTACGTTGTCTGCTCTCTGTCTCTTCTAGCGTTCCCTACGTGGTCTGTTTAAGGCCTTGCTTGGGGTATGAAAAAAATGAGAATTTTTTTTTTTTTTTAAATAGGTTTCTCAGGTGGATGCCTAGCCATCACCTGATGGTTTGTTGTCTTACCATATAACTGCACCTGTTGCAGTGCAGATACTCTCCTCTCCCCTACCTCCAGGTTGTATTCAAGCAAAAAAAACATTGCAGATGGAGCATTAGGTGTATCTGAGAGGCTGGCGATCCGGATCTCCTCTCCACGTGTGCACTCACATTCTCAGACCACACGTGTAATACAGCCGGCATAGCTCTTGAAGACTACCTGTACAGTACGGGGTTTATTTTAAGCGGTCGGTTGTTGGATCAGCAATGGCGCCAGGCTTGGGTGTATGTGTGAATAACGTATTCCATGTATTTCACAGGTTCCTATGTGCCTGAGGGCTTGATGATATCCTGTACATGGGACTATGTAACCTACTCCCCTGCAAACAGAAGTTACACCATGATTCTATGTTGCTGCGTGTTTTTTATTCCCCTGATAATAATATTCCATTGCTATTTATTTATGTTCCTGGCCATAAGACGTACTGGCAGGTAAGTGATGTAGCTGAAATAAGTAAATCTCCCTTTTCTTCTATTAGAAGATTTTCTCGATTTCTTTAGCTGCAGAAAAATCTGAATCAAAAATTAATCTGAATTGAAACTGGAAATAAAGTGGCAGATCATTAACAGCCGTAACTGGAAAAATATTTTTGTGAATGTGAAAACTGGAATGGATGTATGTATTTTGGAGTAAGGAAAGAAGTCTCTGGTGGTTCTAATCTTACCGCAGAGTGTGGTAATTAATAGTACATCAGATAATTTGATAGCTTGGATTATTATTATTTCAGATTTGCAATACAAGGAACATGGTCCTTGTGCATTCCAGCACAGTTTTCAGCCCCAAGGGATGACAAATAACATGTAGCATCATCTGCCTTTGAGCTGCTCTGTAAACATAACAGTCCTCATATTTTTTGACAGTTTTATTTAAGGCAGGCATCCCAGAAAACCTTGGGGTTCACTCAAGCATCACAACTGCATACACAACATCTGGCTATGTTTATTAGGACACTGCCCTCCCTGCCCACAAATTCTTGGTCTGTATTTGAAATAAAAAATCAGCAGGATGTTAGATCTGTGAAGTAACTTCATTCTGTCAGTCATTTTTCTCTTAATAAGCACATGATTTGTCTTTGGTCTGAGCCAACACCAACTGGAGCTGTGAGTCCTTCCCGCTGCCCGCGGTGCCATCAGCTCCCGTGGCTTTTCTCCGTACCCGTCTCCAGGCATTTGTTGAAGTCCTTTGTCTTCAGAAGGCTAAATTCCATTTTTACAAGCGTGTTTAGCTGTATGCCTAAATTGAAATTCTTACTGAACTCTATTTTTTGGCCTTGGTCTTGCTTCTTGCTACGCTTTGTGTACACGTATTTGATATCAAGTGAAGGAGCAAAGAATGCATCCTTAAAACAACGGTGTCATGTACACCCGTGATGCATGGTGGCCACAAGATTTTCCTATGCCTTTTGCTCACTAACACAGTAAAGTCACTTTACGAGTACGTTCACAGTGCACCAGGAAGCAGTTTGTTGTCCTGCTGGCTGGTAATTACTGTCTTCAACCTGAAATATATATTCCTTTAACAATGCTGATATGTAAAAATTGTTATTCCTATGCTAAACCATATAAAATGCTAAACCATATAAAACCATTTTTTTTTAAATAAAGTGCGGAATGTTTGTCTGATGTGAGAAGAGAATTTGATGGGATGTATTCGGGAAAAAATATTAGGACTGCCTGTTGTTCTCCCTCCTGAAAATACCCTTCTCCAGTGAACAGATCTGCAGGGAAGTAAAAATGTCCCCGTAAACGTTTGGAGCCAGGTCCCTCAGAGTAGTCAGGGTATTCCAGCACGTGTCACCTTGTGAGCTGGAATTTCTGCAGGCTGTTCCTCCCTCGAAAAGGAAAAGCCATAAGATTGGATTTTTACATCTAGCTGTGCCTTTGCTTGCTCCACTCACTTCTGAGAGCAACGAAGGGCAAGGGGTACCAATTTCTTCACCCTCCCAAGACAAAACCCTCCTAGCATTAGGATAATGACACGGCAGTCCTGTCTTGTAGTCCCAAGGGTTCTTCTGGCTCAGTCCCACAGGCAAACAAAGTCAGAGAGAATGCCTGGGACTATTTTACTGCATTAATTACCTTCTAGAGTTTTTAAATATCAGGGGACAAAAGAAGAGTTAGAGCAGGGAAAGATGAAATCTGCTTCATTTTGCAGATTGCTGAGGACGTATTAGAGATGTTGCTTCTCGCTTTTTAACCCTCCTGCTGACATATCTGTTTGTTTTTTTTTCCCCTCACAGAGATGTTCAAAAGCTGGGGTCCTGCAGTCGGAAATCCTACCTCTCTCAGTCCATGAAGAATGAATGGAAACTGGCAAAAATTGCTTTTGTCGTCATCATTGTGTTTGTCTTGTCCTGGTCGCCGTATGCTTGTGTCACCTTGATTGCCTGGTCAGGGTAAGTGGAAACATGATCCAAGGAGCATGGGTTATTCTGAAATATAAATATGATTAGTACTGTCAACCACAAGAAGCAGATCTCCCTTTTGAAAGGGTTTTTAATAGTTTTACATTAGAGGTGATATTGTATTCTTTGATATATCCTTGTGAATAAAGCCAGAAAAGGGATTATTTGTCTATATATTTTAAAACTATTATGACTTTTTATCTGCATTTTTGGTGCGCATTCTTTCCTCTCCCCCATGGTACTTACTTTGTATGAATTGGAGGAATTATCTCTTGTTTCTCCTAATACCTGTTCTCCCCAGAAGCTTCCTCCATACACTGCTGCCTCTGACAGCGGACAGAAAAGGGGTGATATTCCCTCATATTCACCCCTGAGCTCCAGTCTTCCTCCAACCGCTCTCCACTCCAAAGGGACCTGTTGTCTTGGCAGTGCATGTTCTTGATTTCAAGGTCAGGTTGGATGAGGCTTTGAGCAACCTCATCTAGTGAAGGATGTCCATGCCTATGGCAGGGGCGTTGGACTAGATGATCTCTAAGGTCCCTTCCAACCCAAACCATTCTATGATATTGTGATTATCCTGCGCTGACATTGATCACATGTGACTGACTGTGGGAGCTTAAAGTCAAGAGGAGAATATTGGTTTTGAACCACCTCCAGTCCTCTCTTCCTTCTGCAGTGTTTGCAATGCGGCATTGACACCCATTACTGTGCAGCATGGATGTTGCTGCTGAAAGATTTTAGGTTTGATTCCGTTTTCTTTTTTTATCACCATTCCCTTTTCCCAGATAGTCGCAACGGAGGTTATTTTGGTGGGGTTTTTTTGCCTAGTGTATAAATAGGGAAGGTGATTCTTCGTGTTCATGGTCATCCTCAAATAGATAGCAAATTCCTTGCATGTCTTTCATCTTCTCCAAATGAATGAAACCAAGTACGCACTGTCAAATGCAAGCCTTTCATCTGAGCAAAGAATGCGTTTGAATGAATTAACATTTCAGGGGTATTTCTTATAAAGACATCACAGCACAAAAACAGTCAAAAAGAGTAATATGTTTTAGTAATTTAGTATTAATCCATAGCATAGCTGTGTGTAATGTTTTTGCTTTGTTTTAGTCGAGGCAACACCCTAACACCATATTCCAAATCTGTGCCAGCAATTATTGCCAAAGCTTCTGCAATCTACAACCCCATCATATATGCAATAATTCACCCAAGATACAGGTACAGTAAACATATAGGTATGTGTATAACTGTACATGCAAATGTGTTTTTTACAATGAATGAACTACCCTCATCCCCTCAGCCTTCAGATAACAGGTCCCAGCTAGCGAGGCTCAAAAATCCCCACCTTTGAAAGGTCTGGATCTACTCTACTGGTGGTGCTGCTTCTGCTCAAGTAGACTTTTCAGTCTACGGACCCTCTCCCTTGTGAAGTAGACAGTAGACAATATACGTTCCCCATACTCCTCTACCACAGTAGAAAGAGGATCTAGGAGATCAATTAATTCAACAAACAATCTTGTCAACATGAGGAAATTTCAACCAATTCAAAAGCTAAGTCTTTTGAATTAAGCTTAAGCTTAAGCTAAGTTTCCTACAGATTAGGAAAACAACTTTTAATCCTGCAAGTGAAATGTAAAGACCTTTTTTTCCGTAGCCACTGGTAGTGGCCAATTTCAGAAGCTATATGTGCTATATGTTGGAGGTTTGGTATTCTGAACCACTTCAGTTACTCTCTTTACATCAACTTCAGTACTAATGTAAACAAGGTGCTGGTCTTTGGGAGAAGCTCTGTAAGAAGCAAACAGCATTTTCATTGAATTTCTGTGCAAAGTGAGAGCTGTAGGAAGCCAGTAATGCAGACAGAGCTCCCTGCAAAAGAGAAAGGTTTGCAAATATACTGAAAATACTGCTTTTTCATTAGCAGGCTTGCTAACTTTGGTCAACAAGTATTTGCCTTCAAAAAAATAAAGCAGATATTTTGAAATACTCAGTGGAAGGAAGTCTATTCTGAAGACTGTTTTCATATTTGTTTCATTTAGTTGTTTCAGGAAAAAGACTTTCCATTGTTTACCTTCTTCAAAAATATTAGCTTTGACTTAAAAAATTTTACACTGCACTAACGGGGTTCAATGGGCAAAACGTTATGTTGATCACTTTGCTGAAACGCTTCAGTGTTTTTTTGGCAGATATGAAATATTTCTGAACCTACGCCTTCATAAGCAAATTATACCACACTTTAATTCTACTTCTTGTTACAGATATGCAAGGTTCGGCCGAAGCACAGGGATGCCATGATGGTCAGTGTGATAACTGTACCGATCCCACTAGATGGCAGGGTTAGGCGTCGGGCCGAGGTCTGTCTCTCCCAACAAGTGGAAAAGCTGCCAAGTTTTATTGCCTGAAAACCAGGGTTTGGGAGCTGGAAATCGGGGTGGTGGTTTTGCATGGCTGAGGCAGGACAGTGTGGTTGTAAAGACAGTTAAAGTTTCTCGGTAGGCTGGTGGAAATACACCCAGAAATGATGAAAACATA